ACATTACCATGTTAAAGATTAGTTGAGATTTTAATGATTGGATTTATGTGTACTTTAAAGCTAAACTTCAGGCAGACAGCTTAATACACAGTTGATATATATTTTCATTAAAGGAGAACTATGAGGTGAGTGCTTTTCACTCACCTCATAGTTCTAGCCGACCTGTGACAATGAGACTGTCACAGGTCGGCTCAGTAGATCGGGAGGTGAGCGGACATATACCGGCGTTCGCTCACCTCTCGATCCTGTCACGGCTCTCTGCCATGACAGGGGAGGGGCTTGATTCCCCCCTCCCCGCTCCAATCCCCCAGCGCTGACTGGCGGAACGGACGGGGGAGGGGGCGGGTACAGGTACCTCTAGATAAACAGAGCCAGCTGTCACTCACGCAGCTGGGCTGATTTCAACATCTATGTCGGGATCCGCAGCGGCTGCGGCGTCTCAGTATATTGTATACAACGCTAGTTTGTGTCCTCCCGTTACCCTAAGGAGGACTATGGGGAAAAGCCCTGACCCCATAGTTCTCCTTTAACTATTTTACCCACTTAAAGGACTTGTAATAGTGTTTAGCCAGTTTTTTTATTCAGACTTCCCGACCATACAACACAGCCAGATCCTGCTCTTCCTGAGACCACTCTGCAGACCACACTTCAGGTGATCAAGTTAAACTTGTCCAGGATTTGCTCCAGCCTATAATTTGACAAAAAAGTAGCAGCAGTCCACCAATAAAAAAAACTAGCTTTCTCTCTCTTCCTGCAGTGCAGGGCATTACAGGAAACAAATATCAAGAGACATTCAATCACTTCTGCCAGCTTAATGTAAACATGAAATAAAATACAGAATGTGTTGAAAATTAACCCATTTCTATGTTCTCGAAAGAAAGTATTACACTGTAATTCAGATATTTAAAATATATAAAATGGGCAAAATTATTTTCCAGTTTTCCTTTTTTTTTTTAAAGGAAATCTGCAAATTGTGTTTATGTTTAAAAGTAGTCCTATCATTAGAACAGTATGGTTCTTTTTGTTTTTTTCTATTTACAATATCCTCTAAGCAGAATTTTTTGTTCTGAATATCTCTTGGATGAAACATCTGGAAATGATTAGTTCAGAAAGTAATACCGCACTGACACATCAAACTACTATAAAAGTAATTTTCCAGCTCCACAGGTATTAAGTATTTAATAATAGCCCTATATCTTTCCTCTCACTATACATGAAATGCAAATATGTGGTTATTTTTATACTTCCTATTGCTAGTACTGCTGACCATAGGTGTAATTCATATACACTGTAATGTGAGCTGGTATTGTGCACTGTATGTCAGAAAAAGAATTTAAACTCTTCAAGACCCAAAGACATTCTTGTACCCTCCCAATTTGGAGTATCTGAAAGTTCTTCATATAGTCAAAGATGAATAAAAAAATGGTGCAATTACTTATTTTCCTTGTTACCCACCTGCAAATATTTGTTATCTGATATCTTATATCTATATTGTTATCAGGCCTCATAGCTGACATTTATCCAATGTTTGGTAAAGTAGAAATAAACTCTCCTTTGTTTTTGCATATATCTACATCTAGCAAGCCGTAGATACAGTATATGCATTTAAAAAAATAAAAAGTTCCTAAAAATGTAAAAACGTACCTGTGTCTCTGCCGCTTGCTCCTGTCTGAAGATCTGAAGTTTCATCCTGCATGGCCATTCGAGATGGGGTGGGCGCATGCACAGTAGAGCTCTTTGGTGGGGAGAAGACAAGAGACACAGTGTAAGTGAATGCAGGAGCGTGCACGTCGGGCAGACACCATTGGACAGGAAGTGACAGCAGTCTGCGATGGATCAGAGACCGGCAACAGCGGTGGAAGGATTGCTGAAAACAAGTGGAAGGAAGAAGATGAATGAACAGGCATCATTTAAGGTAAGTCCTTAAAGCAGCATAGGGGCAGGAAAAAATGTGTAACTTTAATGTCACTTTAATAATCAAAGATGCAATAACAAAGTGCTAGCAAAAAAATTATCCTCGACCCTCTTTCAGATATATACATATAAGCACCGGTACTGTTTATTGTACTCTTTTATTTTTGCCTGCATTTATTATTTCATTGTACAAAACACACCATTGCTCATGTTAAAAATTAAGGCCCAGTGTAAGTCTCAGAAATAGATATGAAACCAGATAGACAATGTACTAAATACCTTCATTTTATAGTCTTGCCTATTTTGTTTTTGAGTTGGACCTAGTTAATTCAGTAATCAGCATTCAGTAACAGAGCTGGGCAGACACATTCCCTCTCTTTCTCTTTGATACAAGTCTGTGGGAAGACACTTGTGCTGAGGGTTGTGGCTATTGCTCAGTTATGCCAGCATGCACTGGAATATAAAGGCAAATATCAGTATTTTACTGTGTGAAAAGGGTATTTTAGGTTGCCTACATGCAAACATCAGACAAAATGTGTAAGTATAGTGTTGTAAAGGTGTAAGACTTTGAGTGGGATTTAAAGGGTCAGTTCATTCCAGTTTCACTTTTAGGTGAACTATCACTTTAAAAGTAATTGATATTATTTCCCGTATCTGTGAGTTTTAGAAAAAGGTTACAAAACTTTTGAGGTCCTATCATGGCATTTGATGATGTGTGCAATTTACTGGATAAATAAATGGGAACTATACTCTCTTGAGAAAAATCTACAGCATTCTTAATACATCGCTCCTAAGAGAACATCTATCTAGTGCTCTATTAATGCAGTTTGGCAGTAAATGCTGGCTCTTTACACACAGTAAAATGTGCCCATATGTTTTACTAGCCATTATGTTAAAATAAACCTGCCTCATGAATACTCTATATATTTCCTTTAATTCTGCCCCAGCAACATATCTAAATTACAGATCTATAAGTAATTGGAGAATCTAATAAGAGCACCACGATTCAGATTTATTTCTGATGGAACACTGCAGTATCTCCTCAAGCCTAGGCCCACATCCAGCCTGCTACTAGAGAATAATTAGTAATAACATGTCGTAGATATTTTCGGTGCAGGCCAATGTTCAATCTTCTATTTAATTCTTCCCTTCTTACAAGTAATGGACTCATTTTGAATCAAGATAATTACTTTATTCAATTAGCCTTCCAAGGCTTGGTTTTTGTACCATTATCAGCAGCAAGATAATGCCCTTCAGGGGTGGCACGGCTTTGACCTATTCATTTGAAGCTTTCCAGATAATGCTCTGACTAATGTATGTTATATTTCCTTGATAGCATCTGTCCAGTTCTCTTCTGCTTGATATCCTGTTTAAAATAAATTTAATTGTATCATTATCAAGTCAAATGTAGTAGAAAGCCTCAGGAAAACTTACTTTGTGCTAGTACATACTATGACATACAGTCTTAACTGTAACAACAGATTCAATTATGTTCCACATGGTATTTGTCAAGACATATTGATAAACAAAGATGAGCTTATTAGCTTCACAGAATAGGACTAGACCTGGACTGAGAAAAGAGTGATTGTTAATATTTTTTGCCTGAAAATTACTGTGTGCTAGATAATCTCTTCTACATTGTTAACACAAAAGGATGGATTTACTGATCTACAAGCACTGAAGGGACTTACCAGATTTCCACAGGCAAAAGCAGTTCAACAACTTCTCTGAGACTAGATTTTGGCAACGCAGTTGTGCCATGGTTGAAGAACTTGTGGTCTCAGCACATTGTTCTGTGGCAATAGTTCCTAGCTGTTTGTTTAGGCTATCAGAAGCCTCACAATGGACATCATATGAAGAAGCTCCTGAGCTATTTTGTGCTTAAAGCCCAACTTCAGACTTTGTTGTCACCCCCAAATTGACATTCCTCACACCCTTGTGGCCCCCAGTGGCAGTATTTTTGCTTGTTTTGTTTTAATACATACCTTTTCCAAAGTCTTCAGGCCAGACACATGAATTTGCAGGATCCTCTTACTCTTTGCCTCTTTTTTAGTCTGGGTGGTCCTTACCAATGCAGAGAGTGGCACTGACATGATGTCAGCCCATTCTCTGCACTAGTACACTGCGAATGGATGGTGGTGTGATAATGCACCCTCAAGGTGTGTGACCATGACACCTTGCTTATTGGCTGAGCAACGCTGTGCATCTAGTTGGTTGAGTAATGCGGGTCATCATTCAATCTGAAAGACTGAGTAAATCTTGTGGCAGAGAAAAGTTGCTATGGCTGACAACTCCAGATATAGGTATTGCAGCAAGAACTATTTTTTTTAACAACACCTAGGGGACCTTTTTAAAAAAGTCAAATTAAGCCTAGAGTGGGACTTTACAAAGAGCCTGTGCCCAGGCTATGGACATTTAGGTATGTAAAGCAAGATAATCTGAGCTGCCTGAGAGAATGATTTGAACCACTTTAGCAGTTCTGCTGCAAACTTTAAAATTGAATATATCCACAGTGCCTGCAGCTACAAAGATCAGTGAGGGTTTGTTTTAAAATGGTTTACTGCGTCATAACAATATGTTAAAACTTAAATGTCTATAGCCTGGTCACAGGTTAACTTTAAACATCAAGTCAGATAACCTATGAAGGCATTGTGGCAATTCACTATGAGGTTATCCAACTTTCTAAAAGTGGGTTAATGGACTTTTTTTTTTTTAAAAGAACATTCAATCTATGAACAAGATTCCTATTTATTGCATTTTATCTGTGTTTTAGATTCCTTGAGGTCAGACGTGAAAGGCAGCTCAATTATGTGCTTTACTTAAGCACTTTGCATCACTTACGTGACAAAGACTTCAATCTATCTAAATTGTAGTTCTCTTAACAGCACCCATCCCTGAAAATGACAGGATAGAAAGGAAATCTATAGGTAATACATGGAAAATGACATATGATTATGGATAAAGAATTACATTTCTCTTCCCTACATTTAACAAACCTTAGACTTAAGACAGCACTTCTGGTTCAATATGTAATGATTTATAATCGCTGGCTGCCATTTTCTCACTATCTGTGTTATGTTTTGTAGTGCAGATGAAAGATTTGATGCTTCATTTCACACTAATGTACTGGTGAACTCCTCTGGTCATTGTCAGTATTTACCACCAGGTAAGATGGAAATTTAGATTTTATCATGTTTCTTCTGTTGTCATAAACTTATATGTTTGTATGAGTAGCTTTTTAAACTGCTTTATTGCATAAACACAATTTAGCTTTCCGTATTCTTCAAACCCCTTGTACTTGGGGCTCCACTTCCCTTATCCCCTTGAATATAGAGCAGCATGTCCCTATCCCATTGTTGCTGGCTTTTATTACACCACAGGACCTGCATAGCAAAGCAGCAGAATCACATTTCACCAGAATTTGATAATGCATGTAAAATTTGCATTTGTACCTCTTCTTCATGGTGTAATTTGAAACTGGGGAGATACATTTCTACACAGTTTTGTCAGATGGAGATTGATTTTTACTTTAAATGGAAGACATTAATAGACTGTAGTAAAGTATTAGTGGGAACTGCTGTTTACATGTGACTGTTTAGCCTAAAGAGACACTGTACTTTGCCAATTCTGGTCAAATTGACATCATCTGCAGATAACCCACTCCAAAAGGCAGTCATACTTATCAAGGCTGACCTTTCCCTTGTAACAGTACCTGAACATGAGTGGTTAATTCCCAGCTTTAAAAAATGATCATGTGGGGGAAGGGGGCATGGTATCTTCTCCCGGTTTAAATTGTATTTTCACTTTTGCAGTCACATTTTAGAAAACCCCACTGTATGTGTGTTATGTGTTCCTATTCACACAGTATACCTATAAATACTTAAAAAATATATATATTTGACATGCTGCATTGAAGAGGCAGCAAGGAAGTGTGTCTTGGGAAATAATAAAGCCTGGAGGAGTGGGCTATCTGAAAAAATTGTCACTTAACCTGTTATTTGGCAATGCAACAGTGTCTCAACAAAAGCATATTTCACCGAAAAAAGTGGTCATCATTTTACAACATGCACTTAATACTAAATTCCAAAACATTATTTAACTTACTTAATAAATGTAATAAAACAGTGCAAGGAGAAAACAACAAAATGCTGTGCCCATAGCAATCAGAATACATCTTGGGATATCCTGACTTTACTAAGGTCAATTCTGATTGGCTGATGTGGATCACAGCACTTTGTACTGGGCACTTTGCTCCTTTGTACTGGGCACTTTGCTCCTTAAGAGAAGGTTTAGCATTTCATTAACATAGGTAGGTTTAGCATTTTTGTGTCAAAGGGAACATATCAACATATGGCTTTTAGATGTCACAGCTGAGGTTTTCATTGAGGTCTGCAGATTTCTAGATCTGGGGGGCAGCAGATCTCTGCTGCTCTTGCACAGTATGTTTGCCCCAGTTCACTTATATTAATTTTTTCTTTGTTTGCTGAGAAAACAACAATTGTATATATTTAAAAACAGCAAGGCAGAGGTCTTTGACTGGTTTAGTTTTATGGAAACATGAACATGTAACCAGTATCCAAACTACACAAAATACCACTTCAGCATTAAAATTGGTAATATTTTGGTATTGCTATTATTTTATTACATTTTATGTATAAAATTATATTTATACTATGATGACACATGCTGTAAGAATCTATATGGCATACATATCACATATGAATCCATAAATGAGATATAAATGTTATTTTTTTTAGCTTGTAAAGCATTGAATACCTTCATTTTCAGCCCCATAAGTGATGTTATTTGTAGGCAGAGGAGTAATTCTCCCTTGCAGCCTATTTCACAATATTGGATGTTTTGTATTGCTTCTGCATAATTTCCTCAAGCTCAAGAACACAGAGGATGTTGTTCAATTCCTTGCAAAGATGAGAGTTGATAAACCCAAGGTATCATATTAAGATCTATCTGACTGGCCATATCTGAACTACTGCATGCATAATAACATTGGGGGATAAATAAGGTACTTCTACCACATCTTTAACCATACCCATCAGTATTATAAAGCAGAATAGGCACAGTATATGAATGCGTTGTTGTTCAAAGAAAAAACAATTCTGTAGAATGCATTGAACAAAAAAAACAAATAACTGGAAATTATAAAAATGAGATTAAAACTTTTTTGAGATTTTAGGATTTTTACTTCATTTTTAGATGGCTAATATAATTGAATCTATGCTGTTTTTGGTATTTGCTTTATAAGCTAAGCAAAGGTAGTAGATGGCAAAATCAGTCTTTTATATTTTAGGGATATTCAAGAGCACGTGCTACATAGATGTTCGTTGGTTTCCTTTTGATATTCAGAAGTGCAAACTAAAGTTTGGCTCTTGGACTTATGGAGGATGGTCTTTGGATCTACAATTAAAAGAAGCAGACATATCTGAGTATATTGCAAATGGAGAGTGGGACCTAGTAGGTAGGTGAATTTTGACTCAGCTACAGATAATAGCATTTTGCATTTTGAAACAAACATTTTGATCTTGCATAATATTAGTAAGTGTGAGGCTAAGTGCATATTGCAGTTATACATTCAGACAACTAGATTCTTCAAAATTGGTTGCGTACATATGAACATTTCCCCAAAAGATTGGAGCTATTCTTAGGGAACCTTACATTTGCACAAAAATCTTTGCCTTTTTAAAATTAAAGCATTTATCAATAAATACTTTCATAAAAGAAAATACAAAATATATATATGCGACTTCTTAAATAGGTGATTTTTTTGTATTGTTGGACTTTACACCCTAAAAGTATTTTTCAAAAATGCTAGTGCTCTGTACACTTTTTTTAATCCATGTAGTTTCAGGACACTATTGTTCAAGGGAGAAATGTCAGAATTTCACATTGTATTTGGTTCAAGTGGACTTCTAGTTGAATTCACATACACACATACAGGGAGCGTAGCTAGAAGCGATCATTGGCTGACATCTATATTAGTCCTTTAGCCGATTTTATAAAAAATATCCAGAAAGAGAATAGTCTGTTTCATTCATAGTAAGCAATCAGATTTACCCTTTTATTTTAAAAACTTTCACTGGAAAGAGATCACTGGAACCTAATTGGTGTATATTAAAGATGGGTATTAACCTTACTTCTTTTGTTGTACTACAAACATTTTTTTTTTTTACTCACAAGCCCCTATGTGATAGCATATTAAGTGGTGACAGGTAGTTTTTAGGGTAAAATTAAGGGTCTGTTAGACCCCTAGTGTTACCTTTCTACTGCAAAGAAGCTATTCAAGTGTAGATCACGCTTGAGTAGCTTCCTCCCTGGCTTCTCTAGGTGGGGAATGACAGCGGAGGGACCAGAAGTGATCTAGAAGTGTTGCTTTCAGCTCCGTTCAGCAGGGAGGAGATCAGCGAATAATGTTTGCTGGTCTCTCTCCCTTCTACTTGCCAACACCAGTGATGCTGGTCCCAGACCTGCAGGAGGGGCAGCAGAGACCTGGAAGCAAAGTGGTGGGTGTCAGGGGACCCACTGCACCAGCGCAGCTGCCAGAATTGCTTCCAGTGTACAGTGTACTGTTACAGTAGGCACGTGACATCGGACACTTAAAAACTTTCCTTCTTTTACTAGTGTATGAGAAGTTATAGACTCATTATGTATACAGTAACACAGGCATGGCCAAACTGCGGCCCTCCAGCTGTGGTGGAACTACAAATCCCATGAGGCTTTGCAAGATTCTCACAGCCACAGACATGACTCCCGGAAAAAGGTGCTTCATGGGATTTGTAGTTTCACCACAGCTGGAGGGCTGGAGTTGGGCCATCCCTACAGTAACATATTAATATGCTGTTTAATTATTAGCAACTGTAGAAAAGGTAAGAGTTTGACAATGAAATATATTTTCTCTGTAGGAGTCCCTGTGAAGCGGAGTGAAAGTTTTTATAACTGCTGTAAAGAGCCCTATCCAGATGTGACATTTACTATTACAATGAGACGCAGAACTCTCTACTATGGGCTGAACCTCCTCATTCCCTGCGTTTTGATATCTGCACTTGCCTTGCTAGTGTTTCTGTTACCTGCAGACTCAGGAGAAAAGATCTCACTTGGTAAAAATACAGTTACTTGAAAAAAAAGAATTGACTTTCAGAGGTCTTGAAATGATGTTTGAAATCTAGATAGGAGAATACACTTAGGTGATTATACAGAAAGCAGTGCTATTATGCAGCTAGGTGCAACAGTCACATATTTTAAAATTCAGTTCTTGCCGTTGCAGCATGTCCTATGGCTTTGAGCTTGAAGCATTTTCTTAAACTGACATGTAGTTTTATATACTCATCTGTTATAGCGCTGACAGGCTCAACTGCATATGAGAAAACAGATAACTAAATAGATTAAGTGGCGAAATATTTTGATCTATAGAGTGCTCATGTGGTCTGCAGCCTGACAGAAACAGGAGTGGTTCTTGGTTTTAACAAGGTGGGTCAGCCTGGATTTTTTTAAAGTGGACTTTAGACTTTGGACGTTAAAGTTTTTACATTGGGGTATATTTATAAAATATTAATTGTGCCAATTTTATTTTGTGATATTTAAGTTGTTATTTGCAGGGCAAATGTAATGTTTGTTTTGTAAATCCTGTTTGTTCTGATGTCAAATCAAATGTAATTAGAATGTGTTAAGGTCCTATATGCCATTCTTCCTACTGTAGTGAAAGCAGGCACATACTACATGAGAGTGGCAACTCTGCTCAAAGTTTAAAAGCAGTACAGTGTTATTGCCCCATGACAGGAAAGAGCATTAGGGGGAGTTCACTGGCTGGCTCAATGTGTATTTTTTAATTTGAATTTGTAAATCTAAACAGTACTGGTTGTGAGACATCCTCACAAATATTCAAACCTCAGAAAAGATACCCTAAAAACGTTTGATCAAAAAATAAACTATTCTAACAGGATTCACCAAAACATGTGACCTTCTCGAATAGGATTGCTGCAATGTACACTATAAATAACTATATGTGCTTATAAAAAGGTTTTCTTGAACTGATGATTACCAAAAAACATGTGCCCAACTGAGTAATAATGATAATAATCATTGTCACGTAAATCTGGCCAAAATCTAAGAATATTCAACCACCAAACAACATTAGTTTTCTATTTTTGGATCAGCTAATATTGACAATAAAACAAACATTGTAATTTGTGTGATTTAGCCAACAGCAGCATGCCCATGGAACCACTAAGAACTATCAAATTATCCCCATTTGCTCAACAGCTACGGCTTTATAAACCTGTGCAAAAAATGTTCATGCAGTTTTGCTGGATGAAAAGCTATGAATTTATTGTTATAAATAGAAATCATAGTCTTAAAATGTAGTTAAAAAAAGCTTAAAACAAGCCATACCTTACTTCTTTATTTGCATGAACTGGGAAGAATGTCCTGCCCGAGATCACAACAAAGAGTCAGCAGTTGAGTTTGAGCTGGTTTCTATCAGCTTAGAAACACCTACTTTGTGTTTGCATTATAAGTCTCACAAGAGTCCATGAACCCATCGCACTCCTGACCGCTTACTCCAAACAAGACAAGTTGGGTGCAGCGGTGATCAAAGGATGGCAGCCGTCACAAACATATGTAGAAACAGAGACACCGGCACTCCAATTGCGAATGCATGAACGTCTATTTATTGACGAGGTGCAGCATATCACAGTTAATACATAATGCATTCGCAATTGGACTGCCGGTGTCTCTGTTTTTCTACTTATGTTTATGATGGCTGCCATCCATTGATCACCGCTACACCCACCTTGTCTATTTATTGACGAGGTCCAGCATATCACAGTTAATACATTAACTGTGATATGCTGGACCTCGTCAATAAATAGACGTTTATGCATTCGCAATTGGAGTGCCGGTGTCTCTGTTTCTGCATAAGTTTGGCACGTTGCTAAGATTCTTCTTCGATAGACAGTAAAGGTGTTAAGAACTGTGATTTTTAGTGTCTCTGTTGTGAAATTTTAGGATTGATTTCTCCACAATGCCAATGGCTAAAGGGGCGAATGAGGGGTTGTTTTAAAGGGTTTTTAAGGTTTTCTCAGAATATTAAAAATGCTTTACTGTGCATAGTCTGGGCACAGATTCACTTTAAGGAACATTAGACAAAATATTGCCCTCACTTGGACATCAGAGCCCTAGCACAATTATGTTGTGATTCTCTATCTTGAACAGAAGCTATATTAAAATCTGTCTTTATATATTACAAGCTAGTGCTGTCTAACAGATGTAGCATTATGTAATAAAGCAATTTATTTAAATGCATAATGTATTTTATAGAAACTAACTGCCTGAAAGTAAAAATACTATGTGCCAACATTTGTACAGTGAACTTTGTCATTTGCTTATCCCAGAATCCCATGGTTTAGACTTCCAAAGTATATTGTTGGCAGGAATGGGTATAATATCTGCAAATTCAAGGACTATGCTTTTGCAATAACTTGCTTTGTATTTGTTTAATTTTAGGTATAACTGTGTTGTTGTCACTTACTGTATTTATGTTACTGGTAGCAGAAATAATGCCTGCCACATCAGATTCTGTCCCATTAATAGGTAAGATTGCTATAACTATATACATTGTTTTATGCAGTTAGAGACACATTTTATATAACACTGGAGATGTTGGTCCTTTTTTTTGCTTAGTCTCAAAAATTTCTTTACAGCCTAAAAAAGTGCAATTTACTGCTATATATCTAATACTAAATACATGGAATGGATAGTGATTTTGTACATATTTTGTTTATCTAATATTTATTTTGTTTACTTAACCCCTTCGTGACGGGAGACGTACACTGTACGTCCAGCCACAAAGGGACCAAATGACTTGAACTAAAAAATACATTTTTAAAATTCTGCTTATTTTATTTTGCACTTTTCTGCCCAGTCAGTAGGTGAAGCTCTAGCCTCCTTTTTACATATAAAGCATTTTTATCACACTCGGCTAATACTGAAAGAATCCTGTTGTTTACAAACCTCCATAAGCCATTGTAGCAGTGACTCATTCCTTATCAGCTGGCTTTGTTCCAGGTTTCAACCAGGATAATAGAGCCCCAATGCAAGCCTTGTCTGCTGTGCTATCTCTTTAGTTAACTCATGGTGATATGGAACCCATTGGCTTCATGTATTGCCCAAGCAGCACATATCTTTCACTCCCCTGCTGCTCTGTTCACCCATTGGGAACAAGTGTGTAAAGCCCTGTGTAATAGGCATTCTAGCAGGAGCTTACATAGGACTGAGGACACTCTTCAATTCTCATATACCTAAATACTCTCTTCCCACCCCAATGTGTCTGAGTACCCACTTCCCAACCCCACGTGCCTGAGGACTCTCTTTTTTTTGCCCATGTCTGACAGCACTAGCCAAACCACAAGAGGAAGGGAGGTAAGTCATATGCACTTACACATCCTGGAGTACCAAAAAACAAGCAATTTTGTTTGCTCCTAGTGGCTTAATGGAGCAGTGAGGGAGTGAAGGAATAATAAGTATTATCTCCTGGGTAGGGGGACATTAAAGTTAGTGTGTTGCTTTGCCCTTCATAGGCAAAGCCCAGGTTTGCTTTAAATTTTGGCATAGCTAATTTATGATTAACTTGTATAAAAAAATAAATTAACCTAATATAATACAATCTATTGGTAAATTGTCTGTGCTTTCCCATATTTCACATTATCCTTGCTGTAGTGCAGCAAATATAATTGGATGACTGGAAACATTTATTATTACATTTGGTGCTGTAGTCTGCTGAAGTTCAGCCCTGTCATATGTCTATCCCTATCATCCATGTGTTTAGCTGCTTTCTGTTTGGCACTGAAGGTTTTGTTCCTGTCGATGACAAGGATTTCTCTGAATGGAAGGACTTTTTTGTCAATATAAAAATAGTCAATCTCAAAAAAATTAGTTACATGGGCCACCCGAGAGGCCTTATTGCAGGTTTTCTTTACATTTAAGTTGTAAAAACCTATTGAAGGATTCTAACTAAATATGGTGTGATCTCATCATCGTTTGTAAAGGTCGTAGTGTAACTGCAGTGACACTTATATTGTAGTCTGCCCCCACCTGTCCCTGATGCAGTGAGATAAATTGTTCAGCCACTGAACAAAATGATCCCAGTCTAGTCCACACATGCACTCTGCGCTCTATGCAGCTTCAGAGTACAAGTTTGTACTTAAAACCTCTGTAGGAAGGCATGGCTCCACAGGAATGTTTGAGAATGCAGAGCATATGAGCGGGCCTGACCAGGAAGATTTTGACAACTGACTGTGCAATCTAGTCAGCTGTATCTTGGCAGGGGCAGGTGAGCATGAGAAAGGGAGGGGAGCTCGGGGAACGTTTTAAAGGTGTAGCTGTACCAAATGTGCAGTTAATACTTTAAACCAAAACTCTAGATATTTTTTTCAAAAATTACTAGGAAATAAGAGGTTTTTTATAGCAGAACACACTTTGTATGTCTCTTTTGGTAAACCCAAAACCCTTTCCCCTGGCAATTTTAGCACTGTGCCAGGAATGCATCCAGGTGCCAGTGATGATGTACCCTGGGACCTGGAAAAGTCAGTAGAGAAGATGGCAGCACCAGTTCACAGAGTGGCAAGGGACAGCTTTGATCTGTCATCGCTGGAGTTGCAAACAGACAGATGAGTGCAGTTCTGCTTTAAGGGACAAACTATCTTAAGACATTATTTGTAACACTGCCAGACCCATTTTGGCCATTACGTAGGACCTGTTTTCTGTGGGAGCAAGAGACCAAGTTCTCAGTTGACCTTCTGACAGTGGATCTCAATAATTATACTGTTTCCACATTGCTTGTTGTGTACAATGTTGCCATGCTGTTGACAGTATTGCAGGCCTGGACTGGCAACCTTACAATTTTAGCGGTAGGCTTGGTTTTAGAGGTAGTAGCAATGAAATTGTATGACATGTGGACTGCCTAATCTCAGCTGTCTTTTATAAACCCAATAAAACTTACTGTCCTGTTTACATATATAGCAGTTGGATTCAGTTCCTATTGTTACTGTGGAATTAACAAAAAGTGAAGACTATAAACTGGACTGGTGTGCTTCACAAGAAAATTTCTATGTTATCACATGTTGGCACTTAACATGCTGTCTCAGACTCCACACCCACTCTCCTTTTACCAAGAGGCAGTTGCTCATTTTTTGTTACACATAGGATGGGAACAGACTCACGTGTTATATCTGCCATACATAGACATTGAAATACAAATAACTATAGTACAAAACTACAGTTGATAAATATAAGATGCATATGTTTCTATGCTATTAATTTAACTTTTAATTTACAATGTCTTTTGCAGCCCAATACTTTGCCAGTACAATGATCATTGTGGGTCTCTCGGTAGTTGCAACAGTTATTGTTTTGCAATATCATCACCATGACCCTCATGGAGGTAAAATGCCAAAATGGGTAAGTTCTTAGAATATTAGTATGAAACCCAATAGGACATGTTGAAACTAATGTCAATTTTAAATACTTTAGCAAATTCAGTGAACAGCCTGCTAAACACGCAAATTCAAATTAGAAGTTCAGATAGATTTAATTTGGTATTCTAAACTTGAAGGGAAATACTCTTTCTCCTGATGTGTATCTAATTTGTATCTTGCATAGTAATTGTAAAATCTAGCATTGGACTGCAGAGCTCTTAAAAATTTTGTGGCTGGGAATGTATTTAAAATGTCTGGCTTAGAAACCAGAATAAAAAGCAGCAAGCACAGTATAATTGTATCTTGTGTAGAATAATTCCAGCTATCTTGTTTTCTGTTCATGTGTAAAGGCATTCACATATACATTTATGCAACACAAACTGTTCCAGCTTTACAATATGTAAATAAATACACACTGGGTAGTACGGTTCAGGCCAATTTGACATCTGTTTGTATTTATTTCATTACCAGTATCATTCAAAATAGATTCATACTTATTACAGGGTTATTTGATCATATGTACTCTATATATTTTTAGATGTTCTCATGCAGTAGTTGCTTAACACTTAGGTGTATAGCTGCTAATATAGGGCAGCATTTTGTAATACAAATCTCATTTGAAAGCTAATAAAACAAACACCAAGAACATTTTCAGTGTTCCACTCTTCTAAAACGATAGGACTCATTAAAAAATGGTACAATGAAGGCCATGTTTTTCTCACCCTTTTAGTTACAGCTCATTCTTTCCCTACACTGACTTTTGGATAGTTGTTCCAACACGAATGAAAGTAGTGTGAAAGCTGTCCAATAGTACTTAGAGGTGTACAGATAATCTGCTTCACTTCTCCACTTGTGACACAATCTACTCTGCAGGATTTGCTCTTAGTGGTCAATTCTTATTTACTGGTAGTTAAAGCGAATGATACATTGGTTTGGTTATGGAAGACTTCCCTTCACAGACCTCATTAGCATAGTACCCGCAGTGCACAGGAACTCAACACCTCTGGCACTCTGCATGTACCCTAGGTCATTGTACCCTTAAGACATTTTGCATAACCTGTCAGTTACTTGATACAGTGCAAACACTGTATGCAGCTTGTGACAAGTTGTGCTATCAGTGTAGCAGGGAAGCCTGGGTCTCAGGTGGGCTGTGCAGTCTCTCAGGTGGGCTGTGCAGTCTCTCAGGTGGGCTGTGAAGGATCTCTGGTGGGCTGTGAAGGATCTCTGGTGGGCTCTCTGGTGGGCTGTGAAGGATCTCAGCCCTTGTCAGGGTACCATGCACAGGCGTCCTCACACCACATGCAGGTACCCACGCAGGATGACCAAATGAATATGCACACACAGGATAGGGTTCTATGCACACAGTTTATTTGCTACACAACAACAAAACTACAAACCCCCTCAACCCCCCACAGGTTTAGCAGTGAAGTAATAAACCCACCGTTGGGACAAACACACACCTACAGCCAGGGGGAAGCAACAAGGAGGGGTAACAGGCCTGCAGATATATGGCAGGCCTCAGGATAAAAGAAGAGTGGTCAGGTACAAGCCGGGTCGTTAACAGGAGGGAAGCAGCATGGTACAGGAACAGGATCCAAGAGAGTGGTCGGGTAACAAGCCGGGTCGGTGACAGGTCTGCAGATAGGAAGCAGGGTTCAGGAAGCAGGGTTCAGGAAGCAGGTTTCAGGAAGCAGGGTTCAGGTTTATGGGAATCAGTCAAGTGCAGGCGACGCAATACTGAGCCAGCTTCCTGACTGCAGGTAGGGCCTAAATACCCTCCCAGGAAGCACCAGGTGATGGGATGATCAGTCACAGCTGGGGCACACCCGCAGGTGAGTACTGGAGCTGCAGGTTCCTTACAGTCCCTGGCTGCTGGAGACACCCGCAGGCGAGCACAGGAACTGCAGGACCTGGCTCCAGCACCACCTGGGGGTGCTCTGGATCCTGACAGCCCTAGACCCTGTAGAGCCCACCACTGACTCGGCACAGCCCACCTGAGAGCCTGCACAGCCCACCTGAAAGCCCACAGAGCCCATCATAGACCCTGCACAGCCCACCATAGATCTTGCAGAGCCCCCCTGAGACCCCGCACAACCCACCTGAGACCATGCACAGCTCACTACAGACCCCACACAGCCCACCATAGACCCTGCACAGCCCCCCTGAGACACCGCAGAGCCACCACAGAAACCACACAGCCCACCATAGATCCTGCACAGCCCACCACAGACCTGCACAGACTGTCATAGACCCTGCACAGCCCATCACAGATCCTGCACATCCCACCTGTGACTCCGCATAGCTGACCATAGATCCTGCACAGCCCACCTGTGACCCCGCACAGTCCACCGTAGACCCCGCACATCCTACCATAGATCCTGCACAACCCACCCGAGAGCCCGCAGAACCCACCACAGACCCCACACAGTACACCATAGATCCTGCACAGCTGGCCATAGACCCTGCACAGCCCACCATAGATCCTGCACAACCCACCATAGACCCGGCACAGCCCACCATAGATCCAGAGACTCTCAGGTGGGCTGTGAAGGATCTGTGGTGGACTCTGCAGGGTCTCAGGTGGGCTGTGTAAGGTCCCTTTCCCTGCACAGATGTGCTGTTCCTCTTACTTGCAGCTCCCCATTCTGCGTCAGGGACATCTTGCCATCAGATTGTGGAGTATGACCAGCCTCAAGCCGTCCACTTCTTCTCCTTCACCTCCACTGGCCAGGCCAAATCTTACTGGGCCATGGCCATGTCCCCACCTCCTCTTCCACCCGGCAGCTCTTTGAGGCAAATTAGGAGGCTGCAAGCAACCACCTAATTTGGCTGATTAGGCAGATGAGGCTGCCTAATTCTGTGTTTAAACGTGGGCCGCATCATCATTATGGTTGCCCTCAAAGGTATCTGTAAGACTATATAAATGTATCTAATCTTTCTCATAATTGCCTCTGCCTTCGATTATCACTGGTTTTAGTAATAACTTAATACCTAGATCTGAAAGTAGAAGTCTAGGAAATTGCCTAGAGGGCCGCATTCGGCCCTTGGGCCTTGAGTTTGACACATGTGTTATAGGCTTTAGATAATGTTAAGAGCTTTCCATGTGAGAGAGGATCACAGGTGCACCTCCTTCCTCAGACATCACATATTTCATAACAGGATCTAATTTTCTACATACAGATTTGTGCGTTAAGAAACAAGGATAGCTTTAACTGTAATAATTACAGGGTTTCATTCATTGCATGGTACAAAACAGAGCCGAATGTAACCATGTAGGATGGGATAATACATGTTTGTGTTAATGCAAAACATAATCTGTACCCATCAATTTGTTATAAAACTAGATGTATCCTCATAATTTAATGATTGTCAGTTATTATTTACCAATTTACCTGCATATTTTCCCCTGGTTCATTCTTAATGTATCAGAGTTATCCAGAGGATAAGCGATTTCTCATTTTATTGAACCACTGGGAGAATAAAATGTTTGTTTTTACTCTTTAAACTGCTACAGGAAAGGCTGAATCTCATTGGGAGCATTACAATACAACACATATTGTCTCTATCCTATAAATTTATTGTGAAAAAACTAACTTGTGAGTTCAGGAACAAATAGATAGTTAAGCCTGAATAATAAAAGGCTTCATCTTAACCATGGCATCAGTAATGTGGCTATGGATGAAGTTCCCTGGCGGCAGACCTTGACTTCATTAAACTTCTACAGACTCAAAGGCTATTTCTCCTTTTCTCTTTTCCTGTTCTAAAGACAACAATGACATTCTTGTTAGAAGTCTTGCATTGTCATTGTGAATGCTTTCTCAAGAATATACAACACAACACTTCAGCTGCATCAGATTCAGCTTTTCAGGCAAACTCATTAAGTTAGTTGAATGATCAATGTAGTGCACCACAGTATCCAAACATACATTTGTTTATTGAAGTCAGCTCAGTGAAAAGTGCTTGCTGACAATGTGGGGTACTGCACTCATCATATTGCAATTTACCTTAATAAATAAGCTTACATAAGTTTATTTGGGGATTATTTAGATGCTAAATAATCAATAATTGTAGGTTATTACTAAATAGGATTACATACAATAGGTTTTACAGCCTGGTAATCATGGATAATATATTTTTGAGTGGTGGGCTATTTTTTGCCCATGATCTACATTCGCAAAGCACCTCCTGATTCTATGAACAGAACAGGGGGGTGGTATCAACATAGCACAGGGCCTGCACATTGAGCATTCTAGCCCAAACACCTTATAGGTCAATTCTAAACCCTGTGAATAGTATTTTCAAAATGAGCTGACAACATTAACTGGGTATATTAACAAAATGTATATTTTATTAAATTGACCCCTCCTTCAAACTCTTAAATTGACTTTGATACATGTAGAATGTATGACATTACTGCAGATAAAATTTTACATTGTTGCCACTAATAAGGGAGACGGTAGTTGTTAGAGCTACATGTATAGACAAAAATTAAAGATGTCTTTTAATGCCAATTGAACTCTCCGTTTACATCAGCTAAATATATTCCAGGTGTATCAAAACAAAAGGTGTTCAATGTCTTACAGTTTGTTTAAAGCAGCAGCAACCAGAGTAGGAAACCCTGTCCCTTGCCAGCATTTTGAAAAGTGGGTGGCTTGCTCTCTGTGTGGAAGAAAGGGTCTCATTGCTGGAGTCCAACACACCCCCTGCTAAGTCAGACCTATTGCTCTGCAATCAGCAAAGCTCATGCTTCCCAATGGTTAGAGACCTCTGTCCCTGACTCATCAGGGGGTGTGTCAGACCTCTGCAAAGAGACCACTGCTTCCCTACAGAGATCAAGGGTCCCGCTCTGCAGCATGCTGGCAGGGAACAGGTTTTTCTACTCAGGTTGAGCTAATTTTTGAAGAAAACAAAGACTTTGCACACCTTTTGGTTTGGTGCACATGGAATACATTTAGCTAATTTAAAGAGAAAGTTCAACTGGTCTTTAATCTGACATTTCAAGTGCATATCTGACCTGCTATTTATTTTGCACTCCAGCTATATTGTTGTTCAATAAAGCAATCTGTGTTGGCTTTAAATTCAAAATAGATAGTATCTGTAACTGTGATGTTATTTATCTTGCTTTTCTCCTAGACGAGAATCATTCTTCTAAACTGGTGTGCCTGGTTCCTGAGAATGAAGAGGCCTGGAGAAGACAAGGTCAGACCTGTTTGTCAACACATTAATAAGCAGCAACAGCAGCAACACCAACAGCAACGTTGCAGCATGACCAGTGTGGAAGTTAATACTGTTAGTGGTCAGCAGTCCAGCAATGGGAACATGCTTTATATTGGTTTTCGAGGTTTAGAAGGAATCCATTGTACACCTACTACAGATTCTGGAGTAATATGCGGCAGAATGGCCTGTTCACCAACCCATGATGAAAATCTAATTCACCACACACGCCACGCTGAAGGTGATCATGACTTAGCCAAGATTTTAGAAGAACTGCGTTTTATCGCCAATAGGTTTAGAGACCAGGATGAAGATGAAATCATATGTAATGAATGGAAGTTTGCTGCCTCTGTGGTGGACCGGTTGTGTTTAATGGCATTTTCTGTCTTTACCATCATTTGTACTATTGGCATATTAATGTCAGCTCCCAATTTTGTAGAAGCAGTGTCTAAAGATTTTGCTTAGCTTCCAATTGATATCTTTTTAAAGGTGTCTTCTCCACCTAAGTGGACTTTTTCTATTGAAACAAGTGCTGAAATTAATATCTTGTGCTCATATTGGTGTTGGCTATAACTCAAAATGTACAATTCTTAATTTATTTTTATTAATTAAATATTATGTTCAGGTATGATCATGCAATTTATTTTCTTTTACAAAAATCTGACTGTATAGTCTAGTCACCAGTATGCATACAGTGCATCTATTATGCTATATTTTAATGACATACCATATAAACTAAAAATATTTGACAAAAACTGTCTCATATATCAATATGTATCTTTACTATAATTTTATATATGATTACAGACTGCCATATACTGTATCTACACAATTAAATTAAATTGGCATGTATTCAAGGAAAAAAAATATATTTTTATATTATGTATATTATGTAAATTTGTATGCACTATTGTAGAGTAAGTACTTAAGAAAACATTTTCTCAGGGTCATTTACAACAGACAGACACTAGCATTTTATTATACTTAATGTGCCTGCTTAAATTCATTCAGATGTTATAAGGTTATATAGTTGCCTATTTTAAATGTACACAATATATTATAGCTGTTCATCGCAAATGCTACAACGAGTTAGATCATGTAACAGCTCTGTCTACCTGAATCACTATGCCTGCCATTAAATCACTGTTGGTTAAGTAATTAAATTGCCAACTAAAGTTTTACGTCCATTATTATTAAAGAGTAAGTGTGCTTTTTAAAAAGTGCTCTTAAAAGGAACTGCATTGCCCCACTGGGCAAAAAAATGAAATGTCAATGAAGACCTCACATATCAGCTTCTCCTGTTTCTCATGCAAGATATGGGTAGACCACAGCAGTAAGAAACAGGGGAAACTGCTATACCATTGATCTAAATCAGTGGTTCTCAACCTGTGAAGCCTCAGGACCCACAATTGTCCTTGGTCATTAAAGGAGAATTATGAGATGATTGATTTTCATAATCTGAGCCGACTTGTGACAATGAAACTGTCACAGGTCGGCTCAGTAGATCGGGAAGTGAGCGAACACATACCGTTGCTCGCTCACTTCTCCATCTATCCCTGCAGAGAGCCGTGACGGTCACTCACGGCTCCCTGCAGGGATTCCCCCCCCCTCCCCTGTCCGATCCTCCAGCGCTGACTGGTGGAACCGACGGGGAGGGGGCGGGCACAGCTGGCTCTGCCTCTGGACAGATTGAGAGTCAATCCTGCAGCTGGGTGGATCTCATCAATGTCGGGATCCGTTGCGGCTGCTGCGTCTCAGTATACCGCGAGCTGTAGCTTGCGGTATACTAAGCTTTGGGTCACGGGAGAACGCTGGTTGGTGTTCTCCCGTGACCCTTAGGAGAACTATGGGGAAAAGCCCTGACCCCATAGTTCTCCTTTAAGTCGTGACCCAAGTCATGTAGCACTGGAATGCACGGGATTGCGGAATCACACATTCCAGTGCAAGGTGATCAAACTGTGAGAGTAGGGTGCTTTTAGGATGCCATTGAAATGAATAGCAATGCATCTCCTGCACCAGAACACTCAGTAGGTGTGATTGTTTGGAAATCACATGGTACTGTGCAATTAACGCACCGTATTAGTGTGAAATGGCCCTCAAAAACACTGACAGACACACACAACCACAGACAATCTCACACACTCACAGACATTCTCTCACACACACACATACACACTTCTCAATTTTTTTTAAAGATCCACCCAGTCATCCTACCTTATGAGAACTGGAATGCATCCTTAGCTTGGGGTCCAATGTGGGCTCCTGTGCTGTAACGGAGCTTCATCCATATGTGTATATTATACAGCTCCCTTGAGAGCCCTCTAGAGCTGCCGGGAGCCAGATTGTGATGTCAGTCCAGGCACGTGAGGGAGCTGTAAGCAATGCACGTATGGGTGGAGCTCCCTTGCGGCCATATCCCCACCACACCTCAAGCTGACACTCGGCGCTGGGAAGCATATTTTGAATGGTTGCTCAGCATGAGAACTGACAGTACTGCTCTAGGGGGAGACTGAGGAGCCTCTCAGCTAGCACAATGGAAGGCACACGGCAACTCACCGAACACGGGGTTGGGTTGCAACCCATCACTTGAGAACCACAGATCTAAATGGTAGCATTTTTGTCAAGCACAAAACATGAAGCCAACCTCCGTGGACAGTATTGGCAATTTTATTTTTGCAAAGGGGAACATTTAGGGGGCACAACTTTTTGAAAGAGCACTTACCCTTTAAAAATTCAGGACCTCAAGGGCCAAGGGTACTTTTGTGCCTTAGCTGTGAATTAGTGTGCATTCTCTGGTTATCAATGTGAGTAAGAATTGGTGTCAGTCATGGTAATGTTATGGCAATGAGCACAATAATATAATTGTCTAGCACAAGTCTTTATAAGTAATGTGAATGCTTTCCTGAGTGTGGGAAGGAGGGGTTGCTGCAAGCACCACAGGAAGATCACATCGGTGATTGCAATCTCTGACCTTATAATACATAAGGCCCTGCATGTATAATCCAGAGAAATGTAAATGGGAGCCATCAATTAAATTCCAGCTGTCATTTTACTTTCAAAAGTTTTTATTGTTTTCATTACATCATAACAAAAGGTCACAAAGTTACACATTACAACAAAACACCCACCATAAAAAGACCATTACAATTCCAACCCAGCTTGTTTCTTGGTCTCATTATATCCTTAATTATAAAATCATGAAAGTAGTCTATTGCAAGGGTAGCTAATGTGAACCAGATTTAATAGATGAGCACTCGCTAATATGATACACTCAAAGCTCAACTTGAGTAAGGGCCGGCCATCTAAACAACACACAGGACTAAAAGACAAACAAAAAAGAAAAACATGAAACTTACACAATATACCAAAACAATATCTATAAATGGAAAAATACCGTTCCAACCCTACTGATTTCTTATTCCCCTTATATCATATGAAAAATGCGGATAACCGTAGCATTCTAAAAGAGCTGGATTATACGACACATAGTTGTGGAAGAGGATGGCATTAAAATAGTGAGGTATTTGACAAAGTCCAATATGACTCACCTAAAATGATTTAAGATATAAAGTCTTAAGGGTAATCTTATAGAAAAGAAAACTAATAGAAAATAACTGATAACATTCAAAGTTGATAATCAGGTTGTCACTGACAGTATGCGCTAAAGCACAACTTTTAGCAAGAGCACACAACATTAATAACAAACAAGACAAAAGACTAACAAAGAAGAAAAAAAAAAACAGCAAAAAAAGATAAATCGGGAAAACAAATAAATTAAAGTATTTTGGTCGGGGGTGGGTTATAACCCAAGATCAATCTGCCTTTCTCACGTTGTTGTCAGGCTTATATAGGCCAACCACGGGTCCCAAACAAGTTTCAACTCTGCAACTTTATCCAGGAGAATACTCGCTATCTTTTCATGAGTCATGATCCAAGACAGCTTAGTCTTTACCTGCCTCAGAGATACCCTAGGTGTCTTCCAGGCCCTAGCAATAATAATTTTGGCTGCCAGGAACATAAAGATTATCAGTAGTGTACAATGTTTAGAGACTCCCGGGACGGCCTCATTTAAAAGGACATACCCGGGGTCCCGAGGGACGCGCACGCCCGTGACCCGGGCGATCAGGTTAAGAACCCTTCCCCAGAATCCCCGGATGCGAGGACACGACCACCACACATGGTACCCCCAAGCTCTCATCCTCGTAAGCATGAGGATTATGATCCTGGGTACATGAGGGCAAGTCTAGAGGGCACCAGATACCAACTAGAGAAGACTTTAAAGTTAGCCTCCAACAATGAAACATTAAGCAGGCCCCGAGTTGCCACCAAGGAGCGACGACTCCATGCCTCTTCAGACACAACCATATTCAAGCCCTGTTCCCAAGACAACATATATGGCTGCTTAGAGGGGGATTCTAGCAATATGGAATACAGCAGGGAAATGGCCCCTCTCTGATTGGTAGCCTGAAAGCACCAGCGTTCATAAGGACTGAGGCTACTGCCAGATTTGTTTCGTGTTAGTATATTATGCAGAAAGTGAGTAATTTGATAATAGCGAAACAATTCCGACAAGGGCATACCCAAATACTCTCTACAGTATTCTAAAGTCAGAGGTTTCCCCATCTTGAGGTATTGACCAATTCTGTACAAACCCTTGTCCCTCCACCATTGAAATGATTTGGGGTGAATACCGGGCGGAAATGTCGGATTCTGGTACAAGGGAGCAAGGGGAGTGTGGGGTGAGCCAATATTTCCATGTGTTTTTACACAATCCCAGAGGGCCAGAGAATTAGAGACGGTGGGGGCCATAATAGGCAGACGTAATCTAGAGGGTAGCCATTTCAATAAATCCAAAGGCATATCTCTAGCTGCCTTGGGTTCCATAAGGACCCAATCGGGGGTTCCCCCCTGGAATATATAGCGGATAATTGAGCTATACGTGCAGCTCGGTAGTATTGGTGTATATTTGGAACCCCTAGCCCTCCCAATTCTCTAGTACTATAGAGCGTGATCCTGGGTAAACGATGACCCTTTCCTCCCCATATAAATTTCACCAGGCTAGATTGGAAGGTGGCTAATTCAGATCTGGGGACAGGGATAGGAAGAGCCCTAAATAGATATAACAGGCGAGGGAGGAGAGTCATTTTAATAGCATTTATTTTCCCAAGCAAAGAGAGGTTATACGAGGACCACTTATCCAAATCCCCCTTTAATTTCTTAAAAATAGGAGGAAAATTCGCCTGGTATAAGCGATCGAAAGAGGGAGTAAGGTTAATCTCCAGATAGGGTATGAGAAAGAAAAAGCAACTTTTAGTGTGGCCACTAACTCAGGGGGCAGATTTATATTCAGGGCAAGAGACTTAGCTGCATTTATGTAAAGCCCAGACACCTTTGCAAAACTATCAAGAGAGGCCATTACATTAGGCAAAGTAATCAGTGGGTGGGTAACGAACAACAATAAATCGTCTGCAAATAGGGCGCACTTGTGTTCTCTATCCCCACAATAAACACCTTTAATATTAGGATTCTCTCGTATAAAAATAGCAAGGGGCTCA